TTTAATTGTTCATGCAGCAAAGAAGGGCATCGTATTTGAGCTTCTATAGTGTCAAATTTTCCGGTGCCAGTTAGCATCTCAAAAGTAATTTGATTTTGGGGAGCGCCAGCTCGAGCATTTCTGTTAGCGTGATCTCTGGCTATATCTTGAAACCACATTGTCCATTGAAGATATTCTCCTGGTTTAAGGAGAGCTTTTATTAAAATTCGCCAATCATAGGGAATAAAGTTTCCAGTAGAAGATGCCAGAGCGTTTAGAATCTCTCTAGTAAAAGGCAAATGTGAGCCACACATAGTTACAGCCTTTTTCATTTGTTGCACATGAAAAAGGTTAATACTCTCATATTGAGGTATTATCTGCCCTTGAGCCTCAGCATTTCTTAAAACTGGAAAGGCAGAAAAACCATTGGCTTCAGAGACTTGTGATTGCAAAGCCACCTATACAGAGAGCCTCTGTCGCAAAGGGGGTTGGTTATTGTTCTTCAGAAAGGTGGTGTCGGTTTTAATGTTAAAAGGTGTCTTAAGGGAGTTGTTGCCAAAATCATTAGGTTTTATCCAGGGAGAGACTTTGGGATATGTGCCCTCCGGCAGGGGAGGAGCACTTGAACAACTGGGCCACGGTTGGTAGGAATATCTTGAAATATCTTTTGTTGTTCTAATTGGGTCTTTTTAAGGTATCATTGTCTAATTTATATTCATGTAATAAGTGTTCTGCCTGTTTGCAAATATCAGGAGGGCTAGAATTACCTTGGAATGGCAGAATCACAGCTTCAATGAGAGCCCATAGGGGCCAGAAATCTATCGGAACTACCTTCATTAGGGAACCAAGGGTTACATTCAACCACTGTCTGAAGGCAAGCCTCTATTCTCTGGCATGAAACTGAAAATCCCTGAACTTTAAATAAGTGCTGAAGTAAAGCAGAAAAGTGAGGGGGCTTTCCAGCCGATTGACCCGTGTCTTAATACTTACCGGCCTCAATAGGCCCTGGGAGTCACTCCGTCCGAAGCCACGTGTACCAAGTCCCTGTTTCTGGTCGCCACTTGTTGGTCCTTTAATGGACCAGAACCTGGTGGTCCGGAGTCGACGATAAGGAAGTAAGAGAGAAAGAGGCTGATAACTTGTTGGTCCTTTAATGGACTGGAACCTAGTGGTCCGGAGTCGATGATAAGAAAGTAAGAGAGAGAAAGAGGCTGATATCCCCTGGTTTATGCAGAAAGCCAATAGAGTCCTATTCTTGGGGCTCGCGCTGCTGCACGTAGGCACCAGGTGCCCTCTCGAGTGGGTGAAGGCCTAGTGTGCCTTCTTGAGAGGGTCTTAGAAGCCCGGGCAAGAAAGGGAGCTCAGCGGGCCTCCATGCTGTAAGGAATTAGCCAGAAATAGAGAGATAAAGAGAGAGAGAAAGAAAGAAAGAAAGACACGGGGACCCAAGCTCTGATGGAGCAAAGGTGTTTTAATCAACATGGCGTGGGCATATACACTGTCTTACCAGGTGGTTATTCTCAGCAAAGACAAAGATTAAAATTCCAGACTTACAAGACATAAGATGATCCCTATCAAAGAGACAGTTGCGAACGATCACCTTTTCATAAGAAGGAAGAGGGTACTTATCACGGTAATGAGAAATGCCTGGATTCCTCAGCCCCGGGAAAGGCGTGCCTCTCCTCTCAATTCCTGAATATTCAGGAACCAATAAGGACCAGAGGGTTCCAGACAGATCCAAAAAGAACACAGGAAGTCTTTTGTTAGATGCTTCCTGACACCCCGACAGTGAAGACGTGTGATGTCTTTTCTCCCAGGAATGAGACATATTTTCGGTGGGAACCAAACTTGGCTTCTGGAATCAGTTCAACCTAAATTTGATTCCACTGCTGACACTTGCAGTTGTAAGATCTTGGGTGATTACTCCTCCCTTTAGAAGCCTGGTTTTTCATTTCTAAAATGAAAATAAGAGTGTTTACTTTGTGCAGCTGTTGAGAGGAGTTGGAGGCTGGGCGCTTAGAATGAGCTCTGTTTATTGCTGTCATATGTTTTAAAGCAATAGATCTTCAGCTTCTTTCTAATTGACTCCATTTTCATAATCAGTGGTTAACAGTATTTTAAACAATATTATAAACTACACCGAAGGACACAGAAAAATAAGAAATTCACCGATCTTTCCAGCACCATGATGTAACTGTTGTGTCTTGCCTGGCTGTAACTGGCAAGGTACAGGGCAGTAGGAACTCATGTGAGTGTGAATGTTGCTGTTTTTGTTATTCAGCTGCTAAGTTGTGTCCTTCTCTTTGAAACCCCATGGACTGTAGCATGCCAGGCTCCTCTGTCTTCCATCTCCCAGAGTTAAATTCATGTCCATTGAGTCAATGATGCTATCTAACCATCTCATCCTCTGCCAAGCTCTTCTCCTTTAGCCTTCAATCTTTCCCAGCATCAGAATCTTTTCCGGTGAGTTGATTCTTCGTATCAGGTGAATGTAGCTTGGCCCTTGGCCTTTCTGGCCAGGTTGAACAAGGTGTATCTTAAGACCCAGAAATTCCACTTCTAGGTGTTGACCTTGGTTCTTAGAGTGTGATCCCCAGAGAAGCAACATCAGTATCTCTGGGAAAGTTTGAAATGCAAACTATCACCCTCGCACACCCTTCCCCAGACCTAGTGAACTAGAAATTTCAGGGGTGGGGCCTACCATCTGTGTTTCTACAAGCCTTCTAGGTGATTTTTCTTTGTGCTGAAGTTTGAGATGCATTTTGCCATGTTTGTACAGCACTTTTTATAAGCAAAACCAGAAATAACGTAAGTGCCCATGAGTAGTGGAATGCATACATAGATTGTGGTATGCAGCAGAATTCCACACAGCAGTGAAAAGTAATGAGCTAGACTTCCAGGTATCATGATGGCTGGGTCTAAAAAACAGTGGTGTGGCTGGTGGCTGTATGGTTCGGGCTCAACAATTTAACTGCCATAGCTTGGATTCAATCTGTGGTTGGCAGACTAAGATCCCCTGCAAGCCACATGACATGGCCAAAAAAAAAAAAAACAAAACCAAAAAACAAAAAGTAAATAACAATAAATAGACAGTGGTGAATTAAAAAAAAAAAAAAACCAAAAACAAAAAGTAAATAACAATAAATAGACAGTGGTGAGTCCCCTAGAATCAGGTCACAGAAGAAATATACTGTATCATTCCACTTATATAAAGATCCAGGCAACCATAAGCCATGTATTTTTTTAGGGAAAGATGGGTGGGTGGTAAAACAAATGAAGAGCAAGGACATAGTAATCATAAACCTGAAAATAGAGGGACACTCTAGACGTAAAGGTGTTTTAGGAGGAAGGTACCTGGGGAGGGGTGGATGAAATATCTCAAGTTCAGGGAATATGTGTTTTCTTAACCCAGGTGGTTGGCACATGCATTTTGGCTAATAATTGTTCCTGTTTTATAAACTCTTGGGAATGGGTGATATAAAGAAATGAAAACAAAAAAAAAAAACCCGTAAGGAGGGCTAAGAGGCCAGTGAGGAGTATGAAGGTACAGCCAAATACGTGCATAGCCACCACCAGGCTTTCCCTGGGGATTCAAGCTCCAGACCTTTCTTAAGTGTCATTATTGAGAAAACTCACACAGGACACTTGTTTAAAAATAGTGGGGAAGATTTTATTCAAGACTGTTGCAATAGAGGAGAGAGCTTGAACTTGGTGTGGATACAAGGACAATTGGGCAGGACAGAGGAGAGGAGAAGGAATTTCCAAGAGTAATCTGGGAAGGGTAAAGGGAGGTGAGGAACTGATGCTTTCGAAGTGTGTTGCTGGTGAAGCCTCTTGAGAGTCCCTTGGACTGCAAGGAGATCAAACCAATCAATCCTAAAGAAAATTAGTTACCACAGCTTTAATAATAATTATGGAAATCAGGTCATGTTAACCCTCCAACTCTTTTCTTTTTCAAAGTCATTTGACTATTCTAGGAGTATTTAAACTATTTAGATTTACTGTGATTGTTAATATAACTGGACTTGGAAAGATCATTTTGTTATTTGTTTTCTATTTGCCCTATTCTTCATTTCCTCTTTTTCTGTTTTCTTTTGAATTAACCGAGTTTTTTATGATTTCATTTTATCTCCTTTGTTGGTTTATTGAGTAAAACTATTTTAGGGAATATATTATGTCTTTAATTTATCAAGTTTACCTTCAAGTACTAATATATTATTTCATATTTAATATAAGAACCTTATGATAATATGTGTCCATTTCTCTCCTCCCAGCCTTCATGCCATTTTTGTCATGAGTTTTTATTTTATCAATATTTTAAACCCCCACATTACATTGTTCTTATTGAAATGGCCAAATGTCTTTTAAAGATATTTAAGTAATAAAAAAATATGGTAGTCACCATTTCTGGTGTAAATTCCTTGGTGTAGATTAAAATGTCCATTCAATATCATTTTTCTTTGGCTTGAAGGGCATCCTAAACTTTTCCTGTAGTGCAGGTCTGCTAGTGATGAATTCATTCATTTTTGTACATCCAGAAAAGTCCTTACTTTCTTAGTTTTAAAGATATTTTTTTCTGAGTAGAAAATTTTAGGTTGATGATTTTTCTCAGTACTTTAACAAAGTTGCTACACTGTCTTCTCATTTGCATAGTTTCTACTGAGAAATATGCTATGAATTTCATGTTTGTTCCTCTGTATATAACATGTCATTTTCTGACTGGCATTCTGTCATTATCACTGATTTTGACCAATTTGACTATAGTGTGCCTTGATATAGTTACTTTATGTTTCCTTTGCTCTGGGCTCATTGAGCTTTGGGGATCTTTGGGTTAATAGTTTTCACCAAGTTTTAGGACATTTTAGCTATTGTTTCTTCAAATATTTATTTCTGTTTTACCCTCATTCTCTTGATTGGGGAGCTCTCATCACTTGTATACATTACGATGATTGAAGTTATCCATCTTTGATAGAACGTGACCTGCAGGCTATGATAGAGATCTCCCATTCTGCCTCTTCCAGGAGTCCAAGAGCAACCTGTACAGCCAATATGAGGAGAAGGTGCGGCCCTGCATTGACCTCATCGACTCCCTGCGGGCCCTGGGTGTGGAGCAGGACCTGGCCTTGCCAGCCATCGCCGTCATCGGGGACCAGAGCTCGGGCAAGAGCTCTGTGCTGGAGGCTCTGTCTGGGGTCGCCCTCCCCAGGGGCAGTGGTAAGCACTTGCCTTCTGTGTTGGTTAGCTCAGGCTGCAGTAACAGAGGACCTCAGACTTGGGCTTAAACAATAGAAGTTTATTTCTCAAATTTTGGGAGGCTAGAAGCCCAAGATCAAGGTATTACCAGGGTTGGTTTCTCCTGAGGGCTGTGTCCTCTGCTTACCGATGGCAATATTCTCTTTGTGTCTTCTGGGGGATGGTGGAGGATGTTTGCAGAAGTCTGGGGTTTCCCACTGCAGTGTACCACCTGGGCTGATGGAAAACACTGGGGTGAAGCAAGAGATCTAAAGTAGGTGATTTCAAGTCAAACTCCATCTGAAATGTACATTCTAGATGCACATTCATGAGTCACCCCAGATAGCATGCCTCAGAGTCAAAGGGTGAGAACAGGGAGTTTGCAGTTTTAGGAGCCTCCCAGATGATTATATACAAATTTAAGAACCACTGGTCGAAGACCACCATATAGGACTGTTAGCAGCAGAGTATAGACCTGATGAGTAGTGGTTTCCTAGGTATTGTTACAAGATGTCCTCTCGTGCTGAGGCTGAAAAAACTTGGGAATGAAGGCGAGTGGAAAGGCAAAGTCAGCTTCCTGGACAAAGAGATTGAGATTTCAGATGCTTCACGGGTGGAAAAGGAAATCAGTGACGGTAAGTGTCCCATGTTTGTTCTTCATTGCCTATTTGAATATCTGGTCAACCAGGTGAAATAGCTGGGGTCTGCCTGTCTCTGTTCCCACTATTTCCTTTCTAGGCCTGTTCTGATCCCTCAAGGTTCTTCCCTCCCTCCATCCCTTCCCTCCATCAGGCCCCCAGCTCTCTTGTATTTTCTCTTTTTTTACTCTCATTAAGACCAGTGCTTTGGACAGAATCTGACCTCAGTAATTTATTACTTAGTATGTAAGTATGTATCTGAGCATAATGTGAATTTTGAAGCTTGTCTTCAAATATGGAGTATTTGTCCTTTATTCAAAGGCCTCCCCACTCCACAGATCTGATGTCAGGGTGTGGAGCCAGGGAACACCTTGACCTGTTAACCAGCTTTCCAAAATTCTGACTGGAACATCACTGAATCCTGTTCATAACTGGAAGTCTTTTTCTTCCAAGAGTGGGATTCATGTGCTTGAATAATCCCAGCCTAGAACAATAGATGGCAGGTCTCAGTAAATGCACAGCACAGAGATTACTGTATCAATTTGAAACATCTGAAAAGAAAACATTAACGCTTGATGTAGATAGGGACAAAGTAGCGATACACTTAGTTGCTGCCGAGTGTGAGATGAGTAAGCAGTTTTCCGTTATTGACTTTAATTTCTTCCTAGTGTGTCACATAATTAAGTTCTAATCATTTGGGGAAGATACAAAAATGGTATGAACTGATATCCAGCAGTAGGAAAGAATGGATTTGACTCTATGAAAGTGGAAGCACTACCTACCATTTATTGGCTGTTGTGCAAAAATTAAATAATGTTATGAAGATGTTATTGTGTGTTTGTTGGGATTAGGTTGCCTGCAGAAAATGCAAAATTAGCATATATCTGTTAGTCCTTGGCGTGTAGCAAAACAATCTCAAAACCTAATGGCTTGGAACAACTTATTTCCTGTGATTCAAAGGATCAGCCGGGCAGTTCTTTTCCTCTAGGATGATTTCGCTGGGGCCAACAGTCTAGGATGACCTCAGGTACCAACCCAATCCTCGACTGGAATGACCAGACCTTCCCATGGTCTGACAGTGGCCTGTCCCCCAAAGGTGACTGGGTTGGGTTTTTTAACATGGTGGTAGAATGTTTCCAAGTACCAAGAGACCTGAGTACAAAGCTCTGATGTGTAAGCACCTTTCAGTGTCTACTGGAATACATTTTGTAACATCCTGTTACCCAAAGAAATTAATGCACTCAAGTCCAATTTCAAGAAGCAAACTCTTTTGATGGGAGAAGTGGCATTCTTTCTATAAAGCAGCATCCATATGGAGATGGGAAGGCATACAGAAGGCATTTGTGCAAGCAAGTTACTAACACAGTGGTTTAAACAACATCAGTTTTATTTCCCTCAGAGCTGATGTAAGGGTTCCAAGGGTATGAACCCAGACTTCTGTCTCATTCCTACACTCTGTGTGGCCTCTGTTCCCAAGGCCCCTTCATCATTTAGTCAAGTGTCCATTCCTGCCAGCTAGTCATTGGCAAATGGCCTATCCCTGTCTTAAGCATATTTTCTGGAAGTTGCACATAGCATCTTCACATCTATCCCATGGGCCAGACAATTTTATATAACCGCATCTCTGGGAAATGGATTTGGGGGAGGGGGGGAGTGCAGAATTAGCAGATTGTGGTACATATACCATTGTTACTATTATTTCCTTCTACATTCTTGACTTATATAAAGCATACCAAAAAGACGTTCTGGATGTACAAAGTGGTCAAGTGGTATTAGCTAAAAATTTGATGCAATAAATTCTTATCTTGAAATTTTCATTATTAAGGAGGAAGGAAAAGAATTAAATCTTAGTGGAATATCAACAACTAATGCTCAGCTTGCCCAAAACAAGCATGTACCACTACTCATAACTTTCCAGGTCATGTTTTAGGAGTCACCATTTATTTTTATTTGTTTTCATTTTGCCTCTTTGTTAAGTTCCTAGTATATCAATGGGAGGAATTTAGGTGTGGCACCAGGAAGAACTTACATGCTCTGCCAGGTTAAGACTGGTTCAGATGGGTGTCACCTACAGAGGTGTTCTCGCTAGTTCTCTCTGTAGACTATTCTGGCCACTGGCAATGCACATATGGGATTATCCTTTGATGTCCCTTTTTGTTTCAGAGAAACGAATCTGCTCCAAATATGCTTTACCCTTGAATCACAGCAGGTGGATGTTGTCTTCAGAGGCTTCACTGTAATGAGATATTCTACCCCAAGCTCTATTCCGTTTTTCTTTTTCCTCTTCTCTAGCCCAGATTGCCATCGCTGGGGAAGGCATGGGGATCAGTCATGAGCTGATTAGTCTGGAGGTCAGCTCCCCTCATGTCCCAGATCTGACCCTGATAGACCTTCCTGGCATCACCAGGGTTGCTGTGGGCAACCAGCCGTTCGACATTGAATATCAGGTGAAACTTCAGGCTCCATCCTGGCCTAGGTCTTGTGGGGGAGGGGCTGCATTAGAGAATCAGTGAGTCCAGGACCAAGCTTGAGGAGTGGGTACGGGGAGGTGGGGAATTTGGAGCATGCATTGGTCGAAATTACTCCACCAAGTTGGATGGAAAGAGGCAAAGTTGGGAAAGCATTTTATTTGTGTTTTATGTAGTGACTCATTTTTGGTTATAGTTAGTTACACTCTGTGCCATATCTAAATTGGCATGCATTAGGAAAGAGTTTTATGTGGGAAGAGAGAGTATTAGGAGCAAATATAATGATATTCCTGTATCAGTGAATCTCACCCTGTGGATTAAAGATTTAGGGAATAGTCAAGCAATTCTTTTGGCATCTTGTTTTTCATTGTGACCTTCAGCTTTGAGGTCTTGGGAGATGATTCACGAGTTAAAACCTCACAGTGTTCCCTCAGAAAATGTAGTTTTTCTGACTTGTGTTGTCAGCTCATTTCTCTGTGTTTGTTTCTTGGAAGGCCTGAAGCAAGTACAAGGTCAGGACCTGTCTCAACTCTCATACCCTTTCGTTTTCTTACAGATCAAGTCTCTCATCAGGAAGTATATCCTTAGGCAGGAGACCATCAACTTGGTGGTGGTCCCTGCTAACGTGGACATCGCCACCACAGAGGCGCTGCGCATGGCTCAGGAGGTGGACCCCCAGGGAGATAGGACCATAGGTAAGAAGAGTGAAATTGTTAGTCACTCAGTCATGTCTGACTTTTTGTGGCCCCGTGGACTGTAGCTCTCCTAGCTCCTATGTCCTTGGGATTTCCCAGGCAAGAATACTGGAGTGGATTGCCATTCCCTTCTCCAGAGGATCTTCCTGACCCAGGGATTGAACCCGTGTGTCCTGAATCTCCTCCATTGCAGGCAGATTCTTTACTGTCTGAGCTACCAGGGAAGAATCTGAAAGTGGCAGGTGGCTTGACAGTGGAAGAGCATCCTTTAAATCCAGTGGGTGTTCCTTGGCACACCTGAGTGGGGGCTGACACCCAGCAGATGAGAACTATTCAAGAACCATTGAGGCCAGATGACTCTTGGGCCACAACTGACTCTTGTTGGCCATGGGTTGACCCGTAATCCTTGTCTATCTGCTTATAAGAGGTGTGGTGGGTTCTGGGGCAGGGCAGAATCAGAAAACAGTTATATCAGTTGACAATGCATTTTATGTAGCAAAACCCACGTGTCCCTGAAAGATGAGGGGGTACACAGGATGTGAGGTATCCATACAATGGGATAGTTCTGTGCTGTGCTTAGCCGCTCAGTCATGTCCAACTCTTTGCGATCCCATGGGCTATAGCCCGCCAAGCTCCTCTGTCCATGGGGATTCTCCAGGCAAGAATACTGGAGTGTGTTGTCATGCCCTCCTCCAGGGGAATCTTCCCAACCCAGGTCGAACCCAGGTATCCCATACTGCAGGCAGATTCTTTACCCCTGAGCCACCGGGGAATCCCAATAATACTGCAGTGGGTAACCTATCCCTTTGCCAGGTGATCTTCCCAACCCAGGACTCAAACCAGAGTCCCCTGCATTGCAGGCAGATTCTTTACCAGCTGAGCTACCAGGGAAGCCCACAGTGGGATAGTATCCAACCTTAAAAGGGAGGGACATTCTGACACCTTGAAGACATTGTGCTCAATGACATAAACCAGTGCCAAAGGTCAAATACTGCATGATCTCATTCATATGAGGGATCTAGTGTGGCCAGGTTCATAGACAGGAAGTCAAGTGGGGGAAGGGAGAAATAGGAGTTAGTGTTTGGCGGTTACAGAGTCTCAGCTGGGGAAGATGAAAAGGTTTTGAAGATGAACAGTGGTCAAGGTTGCCCAACCACATGAAAGTGTTTCACGCACCTGAAATGTGCATGTGAAAAGAGTTAAAATGTTATGTTTGAAAAAATGCATTTGGCTGTAAATAGCAGAGAGCTGGAGGACAGTGGCTGAAACAAACAGCAATTTATTTTCACACCTAACAAGAAGTCTGGGCAGAGGCTGCTCACCTGTGTACCAGTGATGCTGTCAGTCCCTTCCACGTTCTGCTCCACCATCCCTAGCGTCAGGTTCTCATTCTTTGCCTCTTCTGCTGCCCATCCTGCCTGGGATGAGACTCTCTCAGCCAGGGCTGCAGCTACAAGTGGGCACAGTAAACCTCAGAGTTAATCCTGAGCTGGACAACCGCATGGCGCCTCACATGCAGATGGGTCCTTGCTTGGCGCAATGTTGTGATGCTGCCATCTTGCAATACTTGTTTAAACAGGCGTTTGCATTTTCATTTTGCAGTGGGTCCTGCAAATGACCTAGCTGATCCTGGTCAGACCCTTATTTTCCCAAGTGTGAGCCAGGCCCCACTTGCACCAATATTAACTGAAGAATTTTTAGAAATGCAAGTCCCTTGATCCCACCGAATCTCCTGAATCAGAATCTCTGGAGCAGGGCCTTAAGGTGGCTCAGATGCACAGGGAAGTTTGAGACCCACTACATGAGTGAAACCCTCTGCTGGTCAGGAGGAACATAACGGGCCATTACATGCTGCTATCTCTCTGGCGTGAGAGCCAAGATCTGGGCGCAGTGCACTTCAGGAGCACATAGGGGTTGAGCCTCGCACCTTCACTAGGCGAGCTGCATTGTCTGCCCCAACCAGCATGGGAACAAGCCCAGGGCCAGGGGACCTCGCTCCCCAGGAGGGGAGCTGACCTTACTCCTCACCCTGACAGAGTCTCTGGGTTGCAGGAATCTTGACAAAGCCTGATCTGGTGGACAAAGGCACGGAAGACAAGGTCGTGGACGTGGTGAGAAACCTGGTCTTCCACCTGAAGAAGGGCTACATGATCGTCAAGTGCCGTGGCCAGCAGGACATCCAGAATCGACTGAGCCTGGCCAAGGCCCTGCAGAGAGAGCAGGCATTCTTCGAGGATCACGCACATTTCAGGTATGTGCATGGAGCTTTCTCAGGGAGAACCAAAGTTAAGGACCTCCTTCCTCGTGGGAGAAATGCATGCTGTTCAAGGTCGGCTGTTGAGAGTATCCGTGTGTGTCTGTTCCTTTACTATGACCGTGGGGAATCTGCCTGGAAGAGTGAAGTAGGAATTCACAAAGTAGGCAAAGAATAAATAAATCTAAAACTTCAGAGGAAGGCGAAGACTTTTTGCAATAACTTATTATAGTTCTGGAAACAGAATATAAACATAAGTATCCCAGGATGGAAACAGAGTGGAAAACCCAGAAATAGAGTCAAATACATACATTTGGCCTGTGATCAATGTGGCCCTTCAAATTTCTGGGCTTTGTCAGTTTATCAATCAGTGGGACTGAGATAATCATTTCATAGTTGGGGAAAATTAAATTTGTCCTTATTTAACATGGGACACCAAAACAAATATCAGTGGAAGTTTAAAATTAAGTACAAAGAAAGTACCACTTCTCAGAAGTAAATATAGGTGGAGAATTAATAATCCCAGGATAAAGGCCTTTCTAACCCTGATGCCAAAATGAAATTTTTTAAAAAAATGATGAAAACTGATAAATTGGTTATTTTGAAATAATGAGAAGGCGTAGAGTTGGTGGGAAAGGAGGGGTGTGGGCTTGCATCTGTGCTGCCTATAGCGTGTGCTGAGATCACCCAGGTGCCCCTAAGGCTGAGTTCCATTTCTAGGAATTCCACACAGTCAAGTAATCAGAGATGTGTTCAGTAATGTCCCCTAAAGCGTGCTCAGCACAGATTTGTTTTTAATTGTGAAGACTGTGGAATGTACATGTTGAAAATCATGGGATTTGTAGGGACAAACTAGAATGAGAGATCACAGTGCTGGCAACCGTTATAGTGCTGTGCCAAGGAGATGCCAATAAAAAGGTTCTTATAAGATGTTGAGAAAAAAGTGACACATTCACTGAGATCCCTTGTGTGTGCACATGTGTATGTAGGAGGAGACGTGTGCCCTTTGTAAACATTATCGTATTTGATGTTCCCAGAAGCCTGCAGAGACGCATAATTCAGAAGAGATATTTGCAGTCCTGTGTTCATAGCAGCATTATTCACAATAGCTAAAAAAAAACATGGAAGCAACCTGAGTGACCACTAATAGATAAACACAATGTTTATCCAAAGTGGGTAAAAAAAATTCCATCCACACAATGGAATAGTATTTGGCCTTAGAAAGGAAGAAAATTCTAGCACCTGCTATAACATGGCTGTACCTTGAGGGCACTATGCTTAGTGAAATAAGCCAGTCATGAAAAGATACTGTATGATTCCTCTTATATAAGATCCCTAAAGGGGTCAAATTCATAGAGACAGGACCTGGGGAAGGGGATGGGGAGATGCTTAATGGGAACAGAATTTCAGGTGAGGAAGATGAGCTGTTTCTGGAGGGAGATGGTGGTGATGGTCACACATCAATGTCATTGTACTTAATACCACTGAATATGTGCTTACAGGCTTTCCAAGCAGCACTCATGGTAAAGAACTCACCTGCCAATGCAGGAGATGCAGGTTTGATCCCTGGGTCAGGAAGATCCCCTGGAGGAGGGCATGGCAACCCTCTCTAGTATTCCCGTCTGGTGAATCCCATGGACAGAGGAGCCTGGTTGGGCTACCTTCCATGGGGTCGCAAAGAGTCAGATATAACTGAAGTGACTTAGCTCACACATGTGTGCTTACAAATTATTAAAGTGGTGAATTTTATGTTATGCATATTTTCCCACAATTAAAAAATTCGACAGGTACAGAAGCTGAAACTTAGGTATGAGTGTACTCTTGCAACGATGTGTGTGAACTCATGTTTCCTGGCTGCCCTTCATCCTAAAAAGTCTTTTAAAATGTGGAAAACTGTGTAGTAACTCACTCTACAAACACATATTTGGAAAGAGTGAGAGGAAGGCTTGGTCTCCTTCCCCAAGCAGCTCATGGTTGAAGTTCTCATTTTGGAGAAGGGTGGGTCCCCCAGTTCAGGCTTCATCCATGCACCTGTGTAAATATCTGTCACTATATTTTCATGAAGCCCAATACCAGTACGCACTGTGTATACAGAAGGGCATATGCATGCTATGGAAACATATCTCCAGGTGATATGTGAATTTTTATAAAGACCATTTATAGTCAGATGTCATAAGACACATTTAATATATCAGCTTGAAGGGATCATTCTATACAGTTTTTTCAAAATATGCAACGTTACAAAAATTCAATCATAATTCTGTGTGATCCAATTGCAGGACATGCCATCCAGTGGGAAGTAACTGTATTTACTTTGGCTTTCCCCAGCAACAGAGAGCCAACCTGCATTTTCTGGCTAGACCCAGGTGGACATGAATGTTGTCTTCTCTTTGCAGGGAACTTCTGGAGGAAGGGAGGGCCACTGTCCCCTGCCTGGCAGAAAGACTGACCAATGAACTCATCATGCACATTTGTGTAAGTGCACGCAGAGCTGAACAGACTCTGAACAGAGTCTTGCAAGCGCAAAGCTAAACCATGTCGACACACATGGATCTCCTGGACATCTTGTTAAGATGTGGGCTCAGATTCAGGGGTGTGGATGTGGCCTGGGATGCTCCCAGGGGGTGTGGCTTTTGCCTGTCAGAAGACCACATGTTGAGTGGGACACTGATAAACTACCCACCCAGCCTAATTTAAAATGAGCTTCTTGCAAGCACTGGCCTAACCCTAGTCTTTCCCCATCAACAACTGCAGCCCATTCTCTCTTCATGTTTATGTCTTTCTGTTGTTTTCCTCAGAAAACTCTGCCCCTGTTGGAAAATCAAATAAAGGAGACTCACCAGAGAATAACAGAAGAGTTACAGAAATATGGCAAGGACATCCCAGAAGAAGAAAGTGAGAAAATGTTCTCCCTGATAGAGGTGAGAACCTCCAGCAGTGCCACGCTGGGGAGTCGTGCATCATTGTCCACAGGGATTATGGGCGCCACGCTCATCCGTCTTCACTTCCCTAAAGCTGATTCGAATTCATTCTGTCCACTTAGCACCAAAATGGGCCCAGAGTTAGAGGACAGAGGGCAGGGAGTGGTGGACCACCCCATGTGTGCTATTGGCTCTTCCTCAAGTGCGTTCCCTCACTGGGGACCCCCCAGGCAGTGAGGGGGATTTGGGGTTGTCTGCTGCCCAAGCTTCTTCTCTCCTGTCCTCCCACCTGGCCTGAGATACAGCAAAGAGGGACTCACCCACTCTCTGCATGCACACAACTGCCAAACTACCTTGCTCTGTTTAGAGTTATCTCTGCTGATTCTTTTTTTCTTCTTGGCAGAAAATTGATACATTTAATAAAGATATCATCTCAAGAATAGAAGGGGAGGAATTTGTGGGGCCGCTTGAGTCCCGACTGTTTACCCAAGTACGAGCCGAGTTCTGCAAATGGAGTTCTGTGGTTGAGAAAAATTTCCAGCAAGGTGAGCCTGAGGCACCACGGTAAACACGTCAAATTGAGCTGAATCCAAGGCTGGGGGAGGTGGGTGATGACGGTGGTCAAGGACAGTCAGAGTAAGGACTTGGTAGTGTGAAAACCACATGTGCTGTTTCAAGTCCCTGAACTCTGGCCAGCAGGCGTCAGGTACAGATTTCAGAGGACACCTAGAGAGAAGATGCGGATTCAATGGCCCATGTCAATCATGACTCTTGGAAGAATCAGTTTTCCCCCAATAGTGAGCAGGTGAGCCTGCCATGTGTATCATGCCCTTTAGGTTCCCGATGGTGCTGCCCCAGAAATAACCCAGGTTCCATCTTGGTTAATCCACTGAGGCCTTGAAACCTGATGTGTCCTGTAATGGATCTTATAGTGACTGTTTAGTTGCTCAGTCATCCGACTCTTTGCAACCCCATGGACTATAACCTGCCAGGCTCTTCTGTCCATGGGATTTCCCAGGCAAGACTAATGGAATGGGTTGCCATTTCCTCCTCCAGGGGAATCTCCCAACCCAGGGATCAAACCCTTGTCTCCAGGTTGGCAGGTGGATTCTTTACCACTGTGCTACCTGGGAAGCCCTTACAGTTGCAGTGGTGAAGAGAAAATGCAACAGCATCTTGGGTACCACCTTGCAGCATCAAATCCTCAAGAGTCTAAGAAAAGTAGAAAATGTGATCTGAAACTTAATTTTTTTTTTACTATTTTAAGAAGCCTAAACTAAATCATATATTGACCAATGAGAAAACTGCAGCAGCTGAGGGAAATTTCAATTTGCTTTTATTCCAACAATCTGATGGTGGTGGGGGGGTGGTGGTGGTTTCATGATTTATTTAAACTGAGCAGCGGTTCAGACTGACGGTCCTCCTTGGCTTTGAGTAATGAACATGGGGAGAGAAATCAAGGGAGTTTCTGCATAATTCAGAGGCTGCACCTTTATTCCCTGGCAGAGGGCACAGAGGGTAGTGTAGGGTGTGAACTTTGGGGACCACAGTCCAGGACACTCATTCCTGGGCCGGTCACTTGGCATGTGTCCACAGTCTTTGTTCCACGTGTTGCTTTTGGTTAGCTGCTTGGTCGTGTCCGATGCTCTGCGACCCTGTGGACTGCAGTACACGAGGCTCCTCTGTCCTTCACCATCTCCCAGAGTTTGCACAAACTCATGTCCGTTGAGTCTGTGATGCCATCCAACCACCTCGTCCCCTGCCTCCCCCTAGTGCTGCTTAGAGAAGCTGAGTCCGTGAGCAGAGAGTTGTACACCGGCTGTGCAATGTGTTCTTATGTCGGGGAGGGGGAGCACCCTGCAAACCCCTTTCAAAGAAAACGACAGTCTTTGGCTTCCAGAAGCTCCCTCGTGGTGTTGCCTGGCCAGGTTTTCATGGCAAAAGTGCTTATGGCAGACAGCCTGTGAGAAAAATGGCTCATTTTTTTTAAATGATAAATTCCTCCCAACAAATGATCAGTTCCATATCACTGGGTGCCCAAATGTAAGAATTAATTTGGACCCCCTCATGCACCTCCTATCCAAAAATAAACTCAAAACGGATCAAAAACCAAAGTGTACCAGCCAAAACTGTAAAACTCTTTGTGACCTTGGGATTAGGTAGTGGTCTCTTTAGCTAGAATACCTGAAGCAGAAGCAATACATGGAAAAAAATGATATGTTGGATTTCATCAAAATTTAAAACTTGTGTGCATATCAAAGAACACTATCCAGGAACATGATCAAGAAAGTGGAGAGACATTCCAAAGAATTGGAGAAAGTGTTTGAAAACATGTATATGATAAGGGTGTAGTCTTTATAAGACTTCACTTCCCAGGTGGTGCTAGTGGTAAAGAACCTGCCTGGCAATGCAAAAGACCTAAGAGTCGTGGGTTTGATCCCTGGGTCAGGAAGATCCCCTGGAGAAGGAAATGGCAACCCAGTTCAGTATTCTTGCCTGGAAAATCCCCTGGACAGAGGAGCCTGGTGGGCTACAGTCCATAGAGTCACAAAGAGCTGGACACAACT